TGATGACTTTACAGAACCCACTAGACAGCTGAACAGAACCAGGTAGGCAGAGATCAGAAAACAAAGGCATTTCTTCCATTCTTCAACTTGAGTAGCAACACAACCTCGGCCACAACACGGCTATTGGTTTGAAAACAATATATTTTAAAGATCTGAATAAAACATCCACAAATAAAAGCAGCACATTTTGTACAGCCTGGCCACTTGGGGGAATCACAGAGGCACAGTAACAGCCATCCAAGTGCTCACAGCTTCAACTTTTCAGTAACTTATCGGAAACGATTCCTATTTGTCGTGTGTGCTGGTTGGGGGGAATAAAACAGGCTGATAATTCTCTCCTAGCTCTAACACATCTGCACCAGGACACGTTTGAAGATTGGAACCCTATGAGGCACTGAGGAAAGCATTCAGCTCTCTCACACTTGAGGTCACAGAGTTTTGCAAGTCAAAAATGTTGGGCATGCCAAAAACATCAGGCTGCACACTACCAAATGAAAGAACACTGTTATTCTTACAAGGGGAGGCCTGACGGGACAGGAAATAGGCAGGTCAGTGAAGTTTACTTATGACTGAGACGCATTTAACCATCGTGAAGCCAAACAATGACAGCTTAAACAAATAAACAAACAGCTGTAACACAAAACAAAACCCGCTGGCACATGGTCTCCACTAAAAACGGTTATTCGATTTTTGGCGAATGCAAGAAGTGGATAACCCCTAGGAAGCCCCTGGGAAACTTCTAGAAGTCTTCTCCTTGTGCGTGCCACACGCTTTCCACTCAGCTAACGAGGATTAAGGCAGTTGTAATTTGTGGGTAGAAAAGTCCAAACAAAGAAGACTCAATCTGAAAATGTCTCAAGTGATTTCATACAAGGGTAAACTCTGAAAATGCCATGTTCTTCTAAAAACGGGTAGGGGGCAAGGAGGGGAGAGAAGAGAGGAGCTGGGAGATGAGGTAAAATCTAGCCCTTTGGTACATTTTTCATTTTTGTTTCAACACGGCAGGAGGGTAGGGCCGCTGGCTTCTCTGGACCTTTCAAATGCCAGGGGCGATTATGCAAAGCCCACAAGCACCCAAATCTTCCGTAAGGACATAATCTCACTCTTCAAACCCCTCCTGCCTGATCGCTCTCAAATGTCGCTACCTCCCATTCTCTGCCAGCCTTAGGGTCCACTGGGAGTCTTCAATTTATAATTGAAAATACTTTTTCTTTCTGGCATTTAAAAAGCAAACAACGAGTGACATCTAGTGGACATTTGGGTTAGTTAAAACCTTGGGATCAGTGGCTTTCCACCTTCCTAATGCTGCGACCCTTTAACACAGTTCCGAACCCATGTTGTGTTGACGGACAACCAGGAAACTACTTCGTGACTTCAATTTTGCTACTGTTATGAGTTGTTATGTAAATACATGTTAGGCAGGGTATCTTATATGCAAGCCCTGTGATGAAGTCATTCAAGCCTCTCAAAAGGGTGGCGTCCCACAAGTTGAGAACTGCTCCTCTGGATGATAATTTCAAGAATATCTTGTTTTACAAATATTGAAAAATTTCTGCTTCTCAAACAGCCTTTCATCTTCCAAAGACAGAAAAGCCTTTGATAAAAGACTACCTGATAAAGATGGCCAACGTCACTTTTCTCTCCTTACAGGAAACATTTTTCTTCTCATAGAATATGAGCAAGAACTTTCAAGATAAAGCAGCAAAGTGGAGGAGTGTTATTGGACACTGGCGTTAGGGAAGTTGATCACCAACTGTGGAGATGATGGGTGTAAGGTCAAGGTGGCACGCCAGTCACAGATCCCAGATTGATATTCTGCTTTAAGAATATTAACTTAGGGGTTGGAGTGATGGCTCAGCAGTTAGGAGCGCTGGCCAGCCTGGTCTACAAAGTAAGTCAGGACAGCCAGGCTACACAAAAAAACCTGTCCTGAAAAACAAAACCAAAAACAATTAACCTGACAAATCTGTATCTACATCAAATACTGGCCATCCCCAAAACGCCACTGGGAGAAGCAGCAGGCAGGCATACTGGCATTCTGCACTGGAGGAAACCTTCTCCAGTTTCATAAGTGACTAGACTGCAGAGTCAGTTGAGACTTTAATTGGGATTGGGATAGCTGAACCTTGCTTCTTTTATCTAGAGTTTTGTAATTTCAAAGTGCCCTGTGGGGTACACACTCTGATGTCTACAGATTGGCTTTGTGAAAGGGACAGAAAAGGAAAGATTGAAAGATGGTGGTTAAATCCTGTGTTTTCTTTCAAGAAAATGTTCAGCTGGGACCTAAATGCCAGCTGTCGGCTTTCCCCAAGTCTTCGGGAATATTAGAGACCTGTGCATCCACACAGGGAACAGACTTTCCTGAAACTCTCTCCCGACTCACTGTGCAGATTCCCAAGAGCTCTGTGCACTGGCCTTATCTTCCTTCACTTTGCCCAAAATGTAATTTTTTTTTCTTCTTTTCATCCCCCCTCCAAAGCACTACTGGTGTGGAAACGCAGTGGTTGACTTGACTTAAATTGTAGGACACGGACAGGGAGCTACAGAAAAAAAAAAAAACGGCTCAGCCGAGGCTGAGGCTATTAAGTCTGGGATTTGTTTCAAAATATTTGGGGAGGGGAAGAGGTGGGAGTGGGAAATTAGGGCTGCTGGAGCCTTGGGAGGGCGCAGGCCTCACTGCCCCACTTCCGCTTGGGATTTTGCTAACATTTTTAACGAAACAAGTCTTTTGGCAATACCCAGACCAGAAAGTTCTCACTCTGCCACCAATCCCCTGCCGTGTCTGCAGGTCCCTGTATCTTCCTGCCACTTTTCAGGCTGCCTGAGCAAATGCCTAAGCTCTTGGACCCCACGACTCAGGTGGCCCAGAAGAAACAAAGATAAAGGGACTGATTTCCGCTCTTACCCTAAGCAGTCCATCCCAGCTGTGCAGAATAGCTCCGTTAGGTAAAAAAAAAAAACAAAAACACACAGTGAGTCATGTGGCTCACACCTCTCTTCCTGTGTGGTTTCTATTTCCAGGGCCCAGGATTGAGTCTTCCACGAGTGGGCTAGAATAACTGTATTAGGGCCAAGCAGTCAGAAAGGTAAGTTATACAGAAAAGCATCGAAGAGAAAGAACACATAGCAAATGGGCAATTATTTTGCCTTCTTAACAAGATGTTCAATATGGACCACTGTTCCGTGCCCAGATAAAACCTTTAAAAATCCACCTCTTACCCCTGTGGTTCTTTCCACTCTCCACAGCTCAAACAACCCTGGCTGACCTAGAAGCCTGAGGAATGTGCGTGCACAGGCCGGCACCTAGGGCTAGCTAGAGGCAACCTCTGCATTCCTTAGCTTCAGCTGGTCCCAGCTCCTTCAACAGCTGTCTACTTAGGAGAAGCAGGGGCCTGGTGAAGGTCTGCAGCGAGATCCAACCACTGTTCAAACTGCCCAAAAGGTGTTGCTTATCCATCTGAAACACTTGAGCCTTTCAAAATGAGCATGGAAGTGAGGTCTCCCTCAACATAAGTAACTCCAGTGAAAGCTGCGTCTTCACTTCTCCTAGTCCGAAGGAGTAGGTGAGCGAGCTAGGGGTTGGGGATGGGAGAACTGGCTCTCAACACCGTTTCAAAAATGCCCGTAAGCAAAGGTGGGCATACCACCATTGGCATATTCCACTGTCCCCAGGTGCATGCAAGACTGTGTCAGCATGAACTTTTTTCTTTCTTTCTGCCAGCACTGTTTCCTAGCTCACTCTCCCCAGGAGACTTGACAGTTTCCATTCCCTGGAGACTGGTAACATTCCAGGGGAGAGATGGCTAGCAGAGTGACTTGGGCACAAGGGATCAGCTGACTGAAACCAATGAGGACTTTCAATTTAACCTTCTGAAGCTATACTGTCATGGGACAGCTTCACTTTAACTATAAAAAAGTGTTTCACTTCCGAGATAATCTCAGCCAACTGGCAGCTTTTTGACTATTACAGAATCACACCAGGACACTGTTGCCATGTCACCTTCCAGCATGCAGCAGTGGGGATTTTATTCCTATTTGCCTTTGCCCCCTCCAAGTATACCGACGCCTACCGCAGTTGATCTGGAGCTACTATGTATTCAAGCACTAACTGGTCGACCTGAGATCTTTACTGTTCTATGAGCAAACGTCCATGTACAGGAAGTGATGCTGTGTAACCTTGCCTCCCAAATTAGCCCTCAGTGGCCAATAATACTGCCTATAGCTGGGCTGGGCAGAAGAGGGCTTCCCAGGCAGGGGACCCTTAGTGTAGCCCTGCAAGCTACCACTGAAAACAAAATATTCCATACGTTTAGTTTACTCTTTAGGTTTGGACGTCACCATTTGATTACGTCACTTATGTCTTTATAGCATGACTGTGTGCCTCTGCCTAAGTCTCCACCACTCTTCCATGTGGAGGCAATGTATCATGCAGCCCACACTGGCCTCAGGTTGGCGATCTTCCAGCCTCCAGGATCTTAAGTGTGCATCACCATGCCCAGTGTTTAAGCTCTTCTCTTCCAAGGGTAACTACCACTGAGCAAGCCTTCTTTGCTGTGCATGATGGTATATACATCATGTCTATTTTTTCTAATATGATACCCACTTTTTTCAGACTCAATACATTAAATATTGTCCTTTAGGTCACGGGGTAGTATGTGATGTTTATTACCTTAGTTGTTTCATTTCTATCATGTAATAAAAGAACAAATTTGAGTGAATGCAATGTTAGGCCCCCCACACTAGAAGCAGAAACTTTAGTAAACTGCCACAAGGTGGCAGCAATTTGCCATGTCCTTGTCACAATCTGTTCTTCACAAAAGCTGGTCCCTAACAACCCACACATGCCACATTGGAGAAGCTGGGCATAATGCTGCACGCCTGCAGTCCCAGCCCTCAGATCTGTGAGTCTGAGGCCAGCCTCTTCTACAAAGTGAGTCCAGGACAGTCAGGCCCACAGAGAAACCCTATCTTGAAAAACCAAATGAACAAATGAAAAAGACTTGGGAGAGCTGGAAGTTTATTCAATCTTTTTAAACTTATCCTTGACTTTAGTTCCCAAACTCATTTTTCTGTTTTCCTTCAAATTTTATATACATTTTTCATATTGAAAATACTTACAGTAAAATGCAGTTAAGATACAAATAAAAACATAATCTTTTCTGAGCCATGTTCTTTTAAGATTTATTTATTTTATGTATATGAGTGTTCTATCTGCATTTACATCTACCAGAAGTAATCAGTTCACATTATAGATGGTTGTGAGCCACCATGTGGTCCCCAGGGTTGAACTCATGACCTTTAGGAAGAGCAGACAGTGCTCTTAACCACTGAGCCATCTCTCCAGCCTGAGCCATGTTTTTTTTGTTTTGTTTTGTTTTTTTCCCTGAGCCATGTTTTTAAAGTTTATAGACAATACAAAAAAGAGAACTTACCAAGCCCAAGAGGCAAAATAAACATTTTGGAGCGTATTTCCGAAAGAAACACTGGGGGTGGGCCGGGCTGAGTAGTTTACACCAGCAGAGATGTCTAAAATGTCCAGCCATGGATTACAGCATTATCATTTGAAGGAACCCATGCCTTAGTGTGGATTTTGCATGCCGTTTTGTCTCCAGACACACTCCTGAATCTGTTACTAATATTAACATTGGTTTGGCCTATAAGATTTCTATTCAGACAGTAGGGCTGTGAGGGAAAGTCATCAGGGTGGCTGGCAGACAGACAGTCCAAACAAGTGATGGTCCTATTGGCCAGGGAACTGCCGGAAAAGGCAACGCAGGGAAGAAGCCCCCACCATTACATACGCAGGGAGGGCTGACTGGGCACTTACGAGCAACTGAGCTTCTCCAAGGCACTTCTGAGCTGCCGACAGGCTGTGCAGTGTGCTCTAGGGTCACGGCCTCAACGAGCAGCCATCATGTCGGGTGGGCTTGCAGGGAGGCAGGTACCTTTGAGTCATTTCAGCTCCTGTTTTAACTCCTCCCCCATGGTTCTGTAAACTCACTCGCTCACCAACTTGTGCTTTTGTGGGTTCCCGATCTGGGGTGAGCAGACCTTTAAAGTCCCAGGGTCACACGGCACCAGTGCAGAAAAGAACAAGGACTTACCTTTTAACACTGCCCCTCTTCCTTAGTACCTCACAGCAGCCCCGGCTAGCTAGCCTCTAACTCACAGCAACCCTCTCGACTCAGGCTCCAAGTGCTGCAACAGCCCCGGAGCACACTTGACCTCTTTTTGGTTCTTCAGTTAGCTTAGGTAAAATCGTATCTGCTAAAGACTTCAACTTTATTACAGGAAAAAGTTACAACTGATACAGCAATGAGAGCAAAACCACTTGAAGACTCTAGTTTAAGGAATAAAACAACAAAAAAATCTACTTGTACACTTCATTTTGCGAAATCTGCACATCAATGCCATCCTCAATAGATTTACAACCATCAACCGCAGAGACAGAGCAGTTCCAACGGGATATTAACAGGGCTCCTTTCCTGCAGCCTAGAACAAGAAATACTGCCAGAATTTAAGCTCCTGTTTGCAGCGCTGAAACAGCAAATATTTTCAAGCAAACTTTTAATTCCTTCCCGTGGAGCCAAAACCTCCTGTGCCCCTTTCCGTGTCATCCAGTGCCTGCAAGACATGACAGGAAGGTGAGCCAGTCAGTGGGAGAGCCTCTGCACAGCTCACAAACCCTCTGTCCTCACGGTCTCACCCTTTACCATCCACCCGGAAGAAGAACACTCAACATCCTCGAAGTGAAGAACGAATCTCGCTTCAACTATTACCAGTTGTGCACATCACTTCACTGCAACCAGCACCTCCTCACGCACCCCCCCTCCACTTACGACCAGCACCTCCTCACGCATCCCCCCTCCACTTACGAACACCATTCATGCCCCACTTAGCGTCTACAACACTTACTTGAACTTCTTCTAGGTCTGGATAAAAAATCCGTTCACAAATGAGTTGCGCAACTCGATCACCTTTTTTTACTTCAGAGAAAAAAACAAAACACAGAGTACTATCAATACTTACTGATGTGCTTTCTATGTTCTGTCTTGTTCAATGAGAACTGGAGCCAGTTCTACAGGAAACTCAAAACCTACTGCGTATGTGAAAGCTTATATTTAACTCACCTTCAAACTTCTCTTTTCCAAAATTAAACAGCACAACACCAACATTTCCTCTGTAATCTTCATCTATGACACCAGCTGGAAGAGAAATCGTTACCTTGATTCATGCTGTCAAAACACCAGGGGTCTATGATTATCTCAAGTCCACTTTTCGAATGATTTTTCTGAGACGCTTATTCTTACAATTGACAAAGCGCAACTCCTTTGGTCCTACACAGTCTGAAAATGTTTTTGTTTTTTCCTAAAATTTGAGAATTTAGAATTGTGCCCCAATTTTCCATCCTGAATGCTTATCAAATGGTGAGCTCGCACTTCCGACTTCAAGCTGGGCAGAGCGACTACCACCCCAGACCCCCAGCTGACTACCCGGTCCACGTGCTGCAAAGTCTAGGAGAAAATAAAGACCCGGGTAACAGCTTCCGCTGGTATTGATGGAATCGTAAATAGACAGCACTCCGAAGCCTAGTGATCCGCAGTGGGACGTCAGTGGTGGCATGCTCAGCAGCAGCCTTGCGGCTACTAGAATAGGAGCAGAGCTGCTGTTATAGTCCTCCTTTCAATTCCAACCGCTATCCCTGTTAAACCAATTGCTCAGTGAACACTGGCTGGCAGGCTTGATGAGTCCAACAGCACACGTGTGGGGATCTGAACTCAAGTCATCAAGCTCGGCAGCAAACACCTTTACCAATGAGCCATCTTGCTGACCTTAATATTCAGAAATTGTAAGATGGTTTTTAAGCGTCTAATTAGTACCTGTTTGGTATTATAAAGTAAAATAGATTTGTACTGTAGACCTTGCCAAGGCCCAGAAGATACATGCCCCAGACTTGTCCTCAGCTTTCCGAGTCAGGAACCTGATGTGTTTACAGAAGCACAGATAATCTGGCTAACAGCCCTCCATTTCTGTTTTTAATGTGGAGATCTAATTCACATGTCAAAGGCAGTTCATTCTGTCTAGACTAAGGGAGAGTCTTTTTTTTTCTAATAGAACAGCAACAAACTTTTCAACGATCCAAATATTATATAAGGTTTCATTTTCATTACCAATTTATTAGTTTAGTCCTTAATACTAGAAAAAGAACTGATATAAAGACTGGACCAGCTGTTTTCATAGTCTTTGGAGAAAGGCTGACTGCAGGAATGCAGCTTGCCCTTAACAAGGAAGCTCCCTAGTACAGAGAATGTTGTTCCATGTTGGAATGAAGGACCACAGCAGGCTGGGGAGCTCCCACCATGGAAGACCTCTGAGGTACAGTCTACATAAGCATATCTATTACAAGTGAGTCTGTGCAAGAGAACCCTGACTTCCAAACTCGTCTGGTTATACTTTATTAGAAATCTGTTAAATTACTCAAAGTATCACTATGCAAAAGGTTGAAGCTAATACTACAGTAATAAAGTTCATAAATTAATTCTTCCACCCCAAAGAATCAGTTACTCTTTGAAGTAGCAGAAGTTCTACCTGTTCCTTTTATACATATGAATAAAGGGAGGGCCATTTCCTCTATGCAGATATTATCTTACATAACACCAGCCATGCCCTCACATTTTTGCTATGATACACAAAAGAGCCCTTGATATACATCCTTGTACATTAGTGCTAACTCAAGTAAGTTACAAAAAAAAACTTTCCTGGGCTAAAGGGTGGACACATATATACGTGCATATATGTATGAGGCCATTGCTAGATAATTCCAAAAAGGAGACAGCCACTCTAACACCCAGCAGCAATACTTGAGTGTCCATATGTGATAGACACAAACAATGGACACTTGTATGTTATACATGCTCTCATATTTTGTCTGATTTTTTAAATGTGTTCTTTTTCATAAGTTGCAAAGATAGTAATTTTCTAGCATAAAATTTTTTTCTAGCAGTGTGAGTGTGTATCTGCAAAGTTCTCCTCTAAAGAGTATTCAAATAGCTAGGTGTCTTGAAACCTATAGGGCCAGGACATTTTTTATGCTTGGAACACAAAAATGTGAAAATCTTCGACTAGCAAGCAAATAAAGAATAAAAGCAATGTTGGCTCTGGTGGCAAAGACTTACAATTCCAACGACCTCAAAGGCTGACACAGGATAACTGCATGTTCAAGACCCAGCTGGTAACTTCGTGAGATCTGTCTCATGAAGATGTGAAAAGACAGGGCTGGAGATATGGCCAGCAGTTAATAGCCCTGGCTGCCCTTGTAGAGGACTTGAAAAAAAAAGGGGCAGAACACTTGCTTGAGTGTGTGAGCTCTTGGGTTCAATCCTAGTACTACTACCAAAAAAAAAAAAAAAAAAGGCAAGATCAGTCTTTTTCTGCATTATTCTAGGCAATACTTATAATCTCCGCATGAAGATGGATGCATTCTCACAACTCTTCTTGAGAACACACTGAGTATCTTGGAAAGTTATCAGTGGAAAAATCAGGCATTGGAACTGGCAGTGGTTAACCAACTTCAGGCAAGGTTTTCTGTGTCAAGACTTTGGCATGTCATTGTTGGAAACTACTTTGGTAAAAATGTTCCACACCTACCAGATGTGAATTCAGAACACAATCTTGCACAGTCAACTTTTCCTTTTGACCCTGATTTCCAGCCCGAGGCGTCTAATAGCATCTCCCTTAGTTGCCAACTATGATAAACTTGTACCTAAGAGAAATTTTTTAAATATTCTGTACCCAAGAGCCTAACACAATGTGATTTTATGAACAACCTTGTACCAATGAACAGGCAAACTAACTTCCCAACTACACAATTTCCCCCAGGTGGTTGTTTTAAGCAGAGTAAAATCTACAAACAAAGTTGAAGGGGAAAAGAAGTTTCCACATAAAAAAAAAATCTATTATGTCCTTAAGAGACATAATTGTCAACTTGAATTAGTGTGTGCCAAACACTGAGATGCTTCATACATCATACTTCCCTCTCACGCCCCTCAAAGACGGGCATGCTAATTTCTATTATATAGATGAGACTGTCCCTTTAAAGACCCTTTGAAATTTCAGTGGAAAATATAAAATCTTTTGTAACTGTTAGATAATTAGTATATCCCAAGTGGCCATATTTGAGTTGTTAGAAAGTTCTGTTTTATTTTTCTAATGTGCATGGATGTTTTGCCTGCATAGATATTTGTGTGCCACGTATCTCATGCATTCGGTGCCTGAGGAGGTCATGAGAGGACATCAGGTACCCCAGAATTGTAGTTAAAGACAGGTGTGAGCTCCCGCCTGGGTGCTGCAAATTGAACTAGCTCATCTGGAAGAGCAGCCAGCGCTTCTAACTACTGAACCATCCTCCAACCTGTAAAAAGTATTTTTGAAAACTAAATGCAACTCACTAAGCCCTGGGAATTCTCAACCTGAGAGAAAACTGCAAATATCAACCTTGAGGCTATTAGATCAGAGAAGTATTCTGGGATATCTGCCTTGTCCCACAGCACCACCTAGTGGTAGAATCGAAGACAGGAGCCATTCCAAAACAGGCAAAAGGGTAGGTCTTAGCAGCCAAGCTTCAGCATGGGCACAGTTAACCCTGACCTACACAGGCACAGAAAGTTAGCACAGGACAGGAAGGGGATGGGGCACCTTTATTCCCCTTGACTATGGAGAGAACAGTGGTGTTAGAAACCCACTTAGAAGCCAGTTTTCTCAGCTTGAAAAAACAAACATCTTTCAATATGGTTTTGTAAAAAATGGCCGCAAGAGAATCCAGCATACCCGTATTTCTGAAGGCCAGTGGTCTGAAAGGAAACTGGATGAAGAGAAAGATCAAAACACTAGCCTATCAGTGTAGTTGTGGGCCCCAATAAGAGATCAGAACTAAAACAATCCTATTAGGAGGGACGACAGAGATGGGTCAGTGATCGAAAGCTAGTCTTGCAGAAGACCCCTAGGTTGACTTAACAGCACCCACATGGCAGCTCACAACCTTCTGTAACTCCTGGTCCAGGGCATGGTGCCCTCTCCTGGCCTCCAAGAGAACCAGGCATGCACATGGTGCATGTCTACATGTAAGCAAAACTCACTTACACTGCATAAATAATATGTAAGAATCCTATCAGGAAAGTGAACATTCTTTACACATAAAGGCATTGGTTAGAAGCCCTGTAGCAAGGTAGGTTACCAGAGGCTACACAAAGGTGACAAAAACACAGGTGTCTCTGAAGACAAATTTGAGAAATGTAGTAACACATTACAAGGGGAAAGTACCCTGTTAATTTTCCAAAACAAGTGCGGCCTTTTATCCAGAGCTTCTGGCAAACTAGATCTGCCTTTCCTAGTCAGTTGGGGGTTGGTCTGATGCTTGTATTTTGATGTTAATTACTAGCCCTCAAGATGTGGTTACTGCCTGGATACACCTATTATTGTGTAAACCTGCCCAAGACCTTATTCCTGATTGGTTGATTAAAAGGCCTAAAACCTGGGCAGGAGAGGTTGGGGTAGGCTTGGCTAAGGTTCCTGGGCTTTGGGTTCAGAAGAATCACGGGAAACAGAAAGAGAGGAGGAAGACACCATGATGGGTTGGGCCTGGAGGAAGGACTCCTAAAATGGCATGGATGGAGAAAACACCAAAATGAGAAATACAAACAAGTATTAATAAGATTATGGATGGAAAGTAGTCCAAATAGGAATGGTTGAGGTGGATGGTGAGGTTATTGAGACACGTGGACTGTCTCCCCAGCTGTAGGTAAATAACGCAATTATAAGTCCAACAGGTGTCTGTGTCTTATTAATTGGGATAGTGGGTTAAATACTGCTATGATAATCATAGGGCTAATAAATAATATACAGCACAACACCACTTACTTTATTTTATAACACTAGTCTAAGAATCAATTGTGCACTAAATACAGAGTATCAGCACAGCAAGGCAAAGCCCTTCCCACGACTGTGCCTGTTATTAGTAAAATAACACGCATTTCACATAATATGATCATTACCAAATAGTATTTGAAATGATAGCATTATCACCTATTCAGACTTAAAAATTCCCAGTGGCAAGAATACTATACAATTTCATAAAACAAAGAAATAAATGTTACCTCCTACATCTATGAAGTGCTTTACAGCCAAGCCAGATCGTGGAGCTAAAAACAAAATTGGAAAACAGTGGTTATTTTACATGTTAAGGGGAAAGTACCATGGTCTCCTCTAATGTTTATATTTTCATCTTAATTTCAGAAGATCATTGTTAAAGAACACGTTTATCATACTATACCACCAAAGTCGGAGAGGCTAGTTTAGAAAAGTTTAAAGCATTTTAGTTCAAAACAAAGGCAAAGAAGAACAACCCCATGACTTGTGGTAGAGCAGATGCTGGAAGGAACTGAAAAGTCGCCAAGTGCCACCCAGTCTGAGGCCCTCTGACTAGTGTTTCAGTTATTTTCACTTAGCTTAGTCAAGAACCTGGGACTTTTCATCATTCAGGTTAGGAGACGTGAACTAAATACCTGTAGCGATGCATCAGAAATTAAACCCTCCTGTACAATTTTTTTATACTAAAAAGTGGAGAAAGCATTATATAGCTTAAACTGGCCACCTCAGTAATCCCAGTGTCTAGCACCATGCTTCAGAAGCAGGTGCTGTGTCAATAACTGCTGCCTCTCCTTGAGACAGTTCCCTTATTCCACCTCTTTGCTTTTCTACCCTGGGGCTCTACAAGTGTAGATAGTGATGCTAGAGACAAGAACCATTTTGCTCTTCTTAGGGCCAAAGACCTACCAATGCATAACATGGGGGTGTTTAGTCTATGTCTCTTATCCAAGGAAGAAACTTGTTTTTTCCCTATTTAGTTTTAAGTTACAAAAAGGGCTTACGTTTTGAATTCACCCTCTAGGCAAGTGACAGGCCCCTGAAAAGTCTAACCCATGGACTCACAGTCCATTTTTTCTTGGCAATAACAGGTACAAGGTGCTTCTCTAGAATGGTGTGGCCCTGGCTCTAATCTCTAGGATGCAGAATAGATCAAGGTTCAGTGAGTGGATTCAGGATTCTGTGAGCCTCTCTCCCATAGTATAAAATGCCAGGAGCCACCATTCTAAGACCTCTTTTTCCTACACAAATATAGTTATTTACATAGAACACGACCTCACGTGCAGACTAACTCTTGCAGAATTGACAATACTTCAACTGACAAAGCTTCAATTAAAAAGCACCTAAATTTCCCATTTTTTGTGAAGTTGTAAGCACGAACAATTGGGTCAATGTGACAATCCATGAGCTCAAGGAGACACTAGAAATAAAAGCAAAAAAAAAAAAAAAAAAAAAAGAGTCCAAAAGTAGCTGTGAATCCAAGTTTTCTTAAAAGGGTGCTGTCTGGACAGACGGTGCTTCATTACCTTAGGACACAGCCCAAGGATTCTCTCTTCACTTCTCACTCACAGGACAGTCAGCATAAAGGACAGGATGACAGTTACCAGTTCCTTAAATCACTTACCTACTCTTCCATAGCACCCAGACGGAACAGCTATCTGAATGTCTGTCTTCACAATGGCTTTCTCCATGGGTGATATGGTATAATCATAAGCACTAAAAAGACATTTAAATAAAACAAGTATTTATTAAACTGCTTTTACCACTTTCCTGTGATCATGCACATAAAATGTATATGGATGTCATCACTTCATATAAACTTAAGACTCTATAAAAAAAGTTTTAGGATAAATCCCTAACACATCTAAGAAAGTATACTTAAAAAGTGGCAGGTGTTTGTTTCCTTTTAGCTTTAAAAGGACAGCTTTAGGCTGGATATGGTGGCACACGCCTTCAATGCCAGCACTCAGGCATGGAGATCTCTATGACCTCCACCCTGTCTGTGGGTAGGTGGGAGGGAGGGAGGCAGGGGAATGTCAACATTGACATTGTTATGTGTTTTTTGTCTCTGAAAGTGATGGTTGGGGAATCAGCAGGGAGGAGCGGAATGGCAGACTTAATTCACTAACCTTATGGGAAGAAAATGAAAAGCCAAGAAAAAGGCAAATAACGACCGACACGCGCTAGGCCCTCACTCCATGCCAGGCAGTTCTAACCTGCTAATGCTTATGAACCCAGTTTACTTCTGTGGGTCAACTTGCAGAAGAAAATCTCAAGGGACTACACAGGTGAGAGACTGAGATGCATGCCTTCTCCCTGGCCAGACAGTTCAACAAGCCTCCCACGCCGTGGCTGTGAACTTCGGTGGCTTAGGAGAGCTGGTCTCCCAGAGCAGCATCTCCTGGGGATGGACACGATCAAAACTGGTTTTCCAAGGTCTACTACCCAATGCTGCTGCTCTCTCCATGACCGCAGCTCCTTTCCTGATTAAAAAAAACTTCAAGACACTTTACAATGAGCACCGGAAGTTACTCCGGAGGTCTTAATTCTATCGGGGAGAGCCGTAGAGTGGCTCCATTTCTTTCACGTGTTCTTTGCACTCTCTATGCATCAGTCATTTCCAATACTCAGAAAAAAAAAAAAAAAAGATGGCCAGAGTATCTAAAATCTCTCCCAAGATTCGCCATGCTAGAGGTATACGTTCGGTTCATGAGCCTTGGTGACCATAGCAAGTATTTTTACGTTGAGCCTTCACTGGCGCTGGAGTCCATGTATGGATTCATGTATAGAGAAGCACGTAGATTTCCTAACGTGCACACCACAGACGGTCACCATTCGGTCAAGGCTAAGCCTTGCCCATCCGGACCTTGGAAAGGAAGGGTGGCGTGCACGCTGCACAGTAACGCTCTGCAAACACCACAGCCCTGTGCTCTCGCGCAAGCCCCTGGCCTGGTGGGTTCGCTTAAGATGAGCTCCGGAGGTCTCCGCGCGAACGCGGTGGAGCCACGACGGCCCCAGGGCCCGGCGTCTGCACCCCCGTGGCTCTCACCTGTACAGGTCGTAGCCCGCGGCGCGGGCGGACCCGCGGGTGGGCGCCGTGGCGTGCTCCGAGAGCCGCACGAAGCGCAGCCGAGCGCCATCCTCCGCCCGAGCGCGCTTGCTGACCGAGGCGGCCGCCGCGTCTTCCGAGCAGGGCATGGCTGCAGACGCAGGACGGCGGGATTCGGCGAGCGCGGGAGCCCGCGAGCCACAGAAAAGCTCCCGCCTGGGCGAGCCCACCGCGCAGGGCGGGGGCCGCGGCCTTCCGCAGAGGCCTCGAGCGCGGCCTAGCGGACGCTCCGCCCGCGGCCGGCTCCCCTCCTCGGCGACCCCAGTGGACTCGCTCCCGCGCTCCGGGCCCGGCCCCCGCTCGCCGCTACCTGGGCAGCTCCGGCTTCCCCGCTCGGCCCGCGCGCCCCCGGCCGGGACTCCGCCGGTTCCGCCGCAGCGGCGGCCCTGCCCGGCCGCCAGCGCTCCCGAGCGGAGCAGGGCCGGCAGCAGGCCGCCGCGCAGGAGCGGCATGGCGCGGCCCTCACTGGGCCTCTGCGCCGCAGGCCCCGAGCCGGCTGCCCCGCCCCGCGCTCCGCCTGACCGCCCTCCCACGCAAGGAGACTTTTTGCTTTGCCCGGAGGGACGGTTGCGTTTTGAAATCTCTTGGCCTTAGCCAAAGCAACCGGGAGACCCCGTGGCTAGGGATAGTTAAGCAACTTTCTAGAGCCTCCTGTTTTATCTACACTATCACCGCAAACTATTAGTGCAAAGCTCGTTTTCAAACTTGGGCTTTAACCCTGCTTCCCTCTGGTCGGTGTCTTTCTAACAGTTTCCAGACCCTGCTTTGGCTTCAGTAAAACTGAATTTATCTCCAAGAGGCCATTCCGGAAAAACTTAACTGAAGTGGCTGCCCTGCCTCCGTTCAGTACTGTTTACTATCTGAATACTTTTTCTGCTTACATTGTTTGTATGTATTTTATTGTCCGTTGTCTACTGGTTGGTTAGATACAAATTCCATTAGGGAGGAATCCTATGTGCCTCGACTGGCCTTTGTATTCCTGGTGTTTAAGGGTGAGTTTCAAAAGACCACACCAAGCCCAGAGCCATGTGTGCATTATCTCTCTCCCCTCCCCCTTCACCAACCTTCCCACTTCTCTCCCTTCCCCTCCCCACTTCTCTCCCTTCCCCTCCCTTTCTGCCCTTCCCCTCCCTCCTTGTGACTTCTGTCCCATCTTATCTCCCCGTAACACTTACTGTATCATTTATTGGCCACTTAGCTTTGTTGTGTGATCTCACTTCTTATCTTCCAGATTAGCAAAAGTCATATAACTTGATGAATGCTTCAAAGTACTTACCTGACTGTTTTATTAAAACAAAAACGTTGCTTGTTTTACAGTACCTACCACAAAGCTAGTATGTATCCGGTAGTATCTCTTATTAATTTGGGTACAGAAAGTGTTTATTATAATCACTTTTCCTCGGTGCTATTTTAGACTGAACAGAGAAAGGGCCATTAGCCAAGTGCAGAGGTGTATCAAGATTCTGAAGGGTAAACACAACCAGGCATTGTTTTTGTTTTTTAATTTTTTCAATTTAATTTAATTTATATATTTATTACAGTTTACTCACTTTGACAACCAGGCATTGTTAATGACAGCGGGAATTAGTTCAAAACGAACCTCGACCTTAAATCCAAGCTACTGCAGTTAAGAACTGGATGCCCTCCCACTGTGGTTTATCCATCAGGAGACAGCCGTGAGTCCTGCTGACCACCTTAACTGCTGTGCCCTGTGATAGCTTGAAACTCGAGGATCTAGTAGAAGCTTTGCCATTCGACCTCAGATGCTCTGTCATCAGCATCTGAGTGCTTGTCCTTCCACCATTCTCTGCGGGTTTCTGTGTGTCCCGAGGAGACTAATGACCCAGCACCCTCAGGAGCCAGGCTGCTGCCACCATGTTCTTTGGGTCTGGTAGGATGACTGGTAGGTGAATCAGGGTTCCTCTCACAGTTGATTGTGCCCTTCCAGAAGTGCTCCTTCCCAGGGCCCCATTCTCTCAAGCTTTCCTCCCACCTCCCGGCTTCCTCTTCTCAGGTGCATTTCTCATCCTTCTCAGTTTAGGCTTCAAGCTTATAAAAAAAAAAAAAAAATTAAGAAGATCCAGGTATGCTGATGTATACCCTTTAATCCCAGCAGAGGCAGAGGCAGGTGATCTCTGAGTTTGAGGCCAGCCTGGTCTACAGAGTGAGCTCCAGGACAGCCAGGGCTACACAGAGAGACCCTGTCTCAAAAGCAAGCAAACAAACAAATAATAAACAAAATATTTAGAGAAGACTCTTATTTATTTTTCATTTCTCCTAGATCTTCTCCTTTTTAAAAATAGTCCTCATCTGGGGCACCAGCTAATGCTTTGCCCTATCCGATGGTTCTTCATTGCATGTACTGGTATATGAAATGATGTGTTTATTCATTTCACCTGCTCATGGTGCATTTGTCCTTGAATAGCATGGAAGTGCCCTGTGGATTTAAAATGGTGAGTTGCTTTCTTTTTAGGGTTCTAACTATTGTTTTATCCTTTCTTGTCTTCTTTTAAACTTACTAAACATTTATTTCATGTTTTCTTGTTTATGTTTTACTGTTTTTTTAATTAAATGTGTGCTTGATTTATCAGTGTTTAAAGTGTAAAATTAGCCTAATTATTTTCTTTTCCTGGATAACACAGAGTCTTTAATATGCTTTGACATTGTTAATCCTTTTTTTTTTCCATTTATATGAAATTATAACCTAGTATTTTAAGCACCCCGGGCGCTTAATTTTTATAAGCCTCACTGTTAGTGGTACTTTGAATAGCCATTTTAAGCAATGTTTGCCTACAGCAATGCATTATTTTTAAAACATCTCTAACATCCTAAGAAAATGGAACGTTTGATGGACCTTGCGGCCAAAGTAAATAACACATCTTGAGGCCCCTGAAATTTAAGACTGCTGTCCTGCTGTGTATTCAGCATGTGTGTTTAACCTGACTTTAAGAGAACAGTGGAACAACGAACCTTACTTGCTTGGATTTTCCATGTAGTCAGTGTTTACAACCTAATTGTAATCTTAAACTATGTGATCTTCCATTCCTCCGACATGGATAATAAATGCTAGAAGACAACATGTGGATATTGGTTGATGGGATTTGTTTGCTTGTTATCCAGATCAGCTGGAGTCATTGACTTAATCCCTTGTAAAACTTTTAAAGATTTTGTAAAGTATCTCTCATTCCTTCCACCATGTGATGCTTTCTGTGCTGTTGTATAAAAGGGAGAGCAAAGCCCTTTGCTGAGGACACAGACAGACACAGACACGGGGTAAGAGTCACAAGACAGCATCCGGTCAGGCACAGATAGAGACTCATGTAGCAGACAAAGAATGATAAAGTCACAGGGAAAATGCTTGGCTTCACTCTTGATTAAATCACACCAAGTGGAACTGATTTTAAATTTACTTTTCTTAATGGGACACTGATGCATGGTTGGTGACTGCGAGTTTATCGCTAATGCATCTGAATGCATCTAAACCAACACATTTGCCAACGTTTATTGCTTTCCCCCTCTTCTTCCCATGTCTCAGACCTCTGGCCACTGTCACTGTCTTTCTACCCAACTTCCTGTGGAGAAGGCCCCGTGTTCAGGAGCCTTCTCAGATTTGGGGGGTTTGATCACTCTTGCATTTCTTCTCAGTGGGAGTATATTTTCTTGGACAGTATTGCAGGAATGGAAGAGATTCAGGCAGTGATAAAAGACTGTCCTTATTGTCCTTAGCTAGCCACATACCAAAATAGGTCAAAGTAAACTAGTTTCTCCTGCTGAAGTTCACCATCAGACATGGAGCTAAGAAAATACAGAAGTCACTTAGGGCTCTGACAAGAAAATTGAAATTTGTTCTTTGCTTCTATTCCGGAGTCTTTTCCAACAAGGGACAAAATCTGAGGCAGGCTGTGGGTGGGTGGGAAGTATGTCTTTGTAAGCAGATGCTTACATACGGGAGTGGGAAAAGGTAAGATACAGAAAGATAAGTTTAAATAAAACACCACCTGGATCAGCGTCTAAAATGTAATATTAATATAAATTGTTCTAGAATTTCAGAATGCTTTAATTTTATTAATGTAACATTGTAAAACTTTTTGACCCAGTAAATACGCCATTGTGGGGTCTGGAGAGATGGCTCAGTAGACTGTTTGCCATAAAAATGAGGAGCTTGAATCTGACCCATGTAAAAAGTGCAAGGTGTTGGTGGTGCGCACTTCCAGTTCACAGCACTCAGCAGTGACAGACAGACCTCCGGGATTCCCTGGGCAGCCATCCTAGCCTATTGGGTGATTTCCAGGTCAAAGAAAGACCCTGTCTATAAATACAAGGTGAATGGCTCCTGAGAAATGATCCCAGGGGTGAACTTCTGGCTTACACACACCTAGAACATAATGCCATTTAGGAATCTTCTCAGAATGTCTTGTTTCCTCCAGACATATTTGAAAATATTTGATCAATGCATAATTTAGGAACCACACATGACTATTCCTACAAGGCTCTCATGAAGAACCCAATGAACAGATGCAAGATTTTTATTTCATTGGACCATCAATGGGATCTCAAGTATACAAATAGCTGGGAGGGTTGCTCTTGCAGAGGACCTGGGTTCGGTTCCCAGCACACACACAAAGGCTCACAAGTTTCCATAACTTCAGTTCCAGGGGATCAGGTACAAGCACACATGCTATACACTTACCTACATGCAGGCAAAGCACTCACACATGTTGCAGGATATTTGATCACATTGTGAAACCTGAGATTGTGAACTGGAAAAAACCCAAAAAACTGTTTCTTGTTGTGGTGTGGCTCAGCCCTAGCACACATCTTTAACCCAAGAGCTTTCTGTAAGTAAGAACTAAATAAAGTCAACCATAGGTCAACAGGCAGAGCAAGCAACTGGTTGACGGGGAGTGAACATAAGAAAACACAGGAAGGAGGGACATGGACAGGGAGAAGAAAAGGCCTTTTCCTTCTGGGACGTTGACGGAGTAGGATGGTCAGCTGGATGCTTTTTCTGCCTGTCTGAGCTAATAGGCTTTCACCCCAGCATCTGGCTCAAAATCAAACATTTGGGATTTTGTTTTAAAAACAACATATACACGTAAAATAAAAATAAATGCATGTTAAAAAGAAATAGCTCTCTAGATTGGTACAAAATTGACTGTTAGTTAACCGACTTAGAGGCTAATCATGCAACCATTTCTTACTGTAAAGCTATTTGAACTAACTCACAATTATCGACTCATTGTGCTGCAGAAGTTGGTGAGGATCAGAATACTTAACATAAAATCTGACAGCGTGATGTTCTCTTAAATACACTGAACATTCAGTCTAACTTAACGAGGGCAGTCATCATGAAAATCTGACTCTAGATTAGTCTCCGTAATTACAGATCTGAGATGAGTTATTGTTATCTCATTTTAAAGCATCATTTTGTTCCTATGAAGTAAATAGTGTTAAGGCCATACCCTTAAGAAAAGCACACAGCACAGTCATTGCAGAGCTT